TTCAAAAAGTAGATGTCCAGTAAACATTGAATATCGTAGTTATCATAAAACTTAGAAGGCCGTGACTTTGCAGTGGCACTAATCATGAACTGTACTAACATACGCTGAACAGCTAAACTTTTTTTTGTGTGTTAAAAGAAATCACTCCGCCAACTTTCAACATTTCAATTAGAGGATACTTGATTTTTTTAAATGGAACTACGAAGTTTTTTTTATTGCATGAAATGTAAAATTTTATTACCTCTCTAACGATATAAGCATGTCTGTATGTATCTCTTACCTATTTTTTGTAATTCAACAATTTCTAATAATTCAGTGTTTTTGCGATTTTTAAAGCCTCTCAGTAATCAGTAGGCCGTTAAAAATTAAGAACACGAATTCAAATGATAAAACATTTGCTCTCAACAAAACAAAACTTTTGTTTGTCGTAGCCCATTTTAAAAGATAAAATAATGAATTTGCATTTAAACCAATGCGTGAACTTATAAAAAAATCAATTTGAATAGTAAGCCACCAAAGCCATATTAGAAAATATTAACACAAAATAAAATGAAATAACATCTGTCAGTTTAGTTTATTAGCATTTACAATTCTGTTGTTGAGTGTTGTGCTCTTTACTTTAAATTTTTAAGTAAGTACTTTTTTTTTGCTCTTCTTCAAAATATGTTTTGTGCACATCGTAAAAGAAATGTGGTTTCAGCACGATGGTGTCCTACCTCATTTTGCTATAAACGTTAAGGAATGGCTGAACCAACAATTTCCTGGGAGGTGTGGTTTTGAACATTTATTGAAATAATTATTTTTCTCTTATTTTTATTTAATCTTTTTATTTTGATTTTTTTAAGTTTTTGTTTTAGTTTATTTGGGGCATTTTTTTTTATAAATTCAATTGTTTATAAGTTTTAACGGCCTATTAATTACTGAGAGGCTTTGGAAATCTAAAAACACTGAATCATTAAAAATTATTGAATTACACAAAATATGTAAAAGATAAATATCGGCATGCTTATATTGTTAAAAAGGTAATAAAATCCTAGATTTGTTGCGATAATAGTATATTGGAAGACAAGTGTTACAATGTGACCTATTGTAATACGACTATCTTGTGGCACGAGTGGCGACGCGAAGCGTAGCCACGAGTGTCCACAAGATAGGAGTATTATAATAAAGCATTGTAACACGTGTTTTTCATACTATTTTTTCTATTTCGGGGCTTTAATTTAATTAAAAAGTAATTATCAAAAACTACAGGAAATTAATATGTCTTAAGTTGGTAACACCATTTACGTTGACAAATTTTAAGTTCCGTGAATGTGTAATTTTTTACTCGTAGATAAATTTATTTATGGTGGATTTGATTTCACATCTGATGATTTGACGTTCACGTCTTGGCGAACTGCCAACTTAGAGATGAAAAGTTACCAAAAGCAATGTTACAATGGAACCCATTGAAACACTGTTTTTGCCGAAAACAGTTGCACAAAATTCTTATTGTGACACCGAAATAGAAAAAAAAACTTGGCAGCTCCATTTAAAAAATCAAGTTACCTTTGATTGAAATTTTGAAAATTGACGGAGTGATTTCTTTTAATACAAAAGAAATTTAAATTTAGCCGATTAGTACCACTGCACAGTCACGGCCTTCTAAGTTTTATGATAACCGCGATATTCAATTTTTACTGGACAATCTACTTTTTGAAAAAACGACGAATTGCGGCTAAACGACTAATTTTAGATATCATGTGTAATACATAAAGTCACACTAAAATTGACCAAGAAATCCAAATCTGAAATAATATACAGAGGGTTCCATTAAAAAATGCAACTTTGATATAAATCACCCTGTATAACAATTGCAATTTCGTTGAACATATTTTTAGTTTGTAGCCTTAAGGGTCCTTCCACATGCCTGGACAATAAATTTTAAATATGCGCGTTAATAAACCCACAATCTTCCACTCACACACTAATGGCCCACTCTGTATATTAAGATTTCGTCTTTTTAATTACTGCTATTAGCTTGCAGTTGCTGGCTCGGCATTAAGTCACTCACTTTCTCATGAGAGACGTGTCATTGGAATTTTGGTGCTTAAGGATAACCTCTTTCAATTCCAATTGGCGCAATTAAAAAAAACATGGCGGACTTGGGTATTACACGTGATATTACAAACGGACAGTACTTAGTAAAAATAATAGTAGGAACTGGCTTTGAGGGAGATTTTGGGACGATTCGGGTTTTTCACTACTAGGCTATTCGATGTGTAGTCTGAAAATTAGAGTTGTTAATTAATTCGCGTCTTAATCGAAATAGAGTCGATAGTATCCCGGGCGTTGCTACTGGTGCGGCACCCATAATTAAGTTTGAACCAGATTCGATTTTTGGATAACCATCATGACCGGTGTTTTATGTTTGAAACGTAAAATATAGCAACGCGAGTTCTGGTAGTTTTTTTTATCGCTAAAATTGAAGCAAAATTGATACAATTTAAGTAGACCTGCAAAAGATCCGTCGTATATGAAGTGTATTTTTCCATTTATGTAAAATTAAAGGTTTGAATCTTTAAGAAAAGAATAATCGTAATTTTAACTTGATTGAAAGTTAATTAAGACATTTTGTGGTTTAAAAATACTTAAAGAGCACGTTTCCTATTTCTGATTAGTGTACATTCACGAATATAATAACAAATAAACTGTTTCAAAGCAATATAGACCGACAAACAGACGGACGGACAAAAAGGTAAAACTTCCAAAACTTTATCAGTTGATCCCTTGCGTCTCTACTACCTACTAAAAACAGAATTGGAAAATTCAAAACTAATAACTTAAGTCTATTTACCACTGGTACGCACTGATCCCCTATTTTAACTTTAATTCATTTGTTTTCTTTAAACAGCGTTTTGATCCTCACTTCTTTCAGTGGTCGCCGTGATTGGAGAGGTTTTCAGGTGATGGATGCAAATAAATCGCTTTTTAACCCTAGATTAAATTGTCATCGGCAATTATAACTCGTGGCGTTACGAAAATTTGATTTTTCTGCAGGAAATTAGGGGATTCGTTTCCAAAACCCACCCCCTACTCCTACTAATGTACTTTTAGTTTTGGAGTGCCAAAACTGCGTTCTACTCGTAAGATTGGATCTGATGGTGTAAATTCGGTTGGTTTTAATAACATATTTGATACAAAAATAAAAGCTTGCCCACGTTATAGCTGGACGAATTTTTCTCAAATTTCTTTATTAACCTTTTCCCGTTCGAAATTGTATCAATACAAAAGAGCGAAATATCATTATTAATAACTGTCAATTTATATCCGAAACACATTACGGCTTTCATATATGTGCAGGAAAATATGAAACTTTCGAACATTAATTAATTTAATTAGTAAACTTTTAGACATTTAGGGAGCCGTTCTTTGTTATTTACAGCCAAAGATATTAGACAATATTTTTTCTAATAACTCCGTTAATAGCAATTTGATATAAAATCATTATTTACGACCTTTTCAAAGTATATAAAATTTAATTTATTGTATAATTCTTTTTTGGTCCGGTGGCAATTTTCAAGTGCAGGTATTGTGCGTTAAATTGATTATTGGGAAAAGGAGGAGAAAGGTTGTATAGGTGAATTGCGGGGTTCGTGTATGTATATATTTTGCAATTCCACAGGGTGCAGCGGTCAGCTGCGTTCTCCGGAGACCCTCCTATTGATATACTGTGTAAATATACTTTCCTTTGCGTATAGGGCAGTTTTGCGAACTCGTTAAACTTATATGTGGAGTTTTTGAATACGCACCGGGCGAAGAAACGAAGAGGTGAGGGTGTAATAAGTATAAAAAGAAAACGAGCGAATGAATTGAGACACGTTTCACGATATAAATTTATGGGTGTCCTCTTGCCGTTTATCTAAGTCATATTCAGTTACATGCGGCGCTCATCTAGTGACATTTCAATATATGTTTTATGGAATGTATGACCTGCCGGGGCCGTATATCAATAGGGACTATCATGGCAAGGTGCTACCGGACGGACGGTCATTTGCCGTAGGTGGAGGAATTGGTTCCCCTAAAAGCTCCCTCAGTTATATACGAGCGGGCTTTAAGGGTTCGCTTCGCCGTCGTCGCAGTACCAATATGGAGCAAGGATCGCGTATTCCGAAAAGAGAGTCATGTTAACATCAAGAAGAACGAGGGCATAAACTTGATGAGAGGACGTGTCATTCTTGTATTACTACATGTTTATGGTATCTATAGAGAAAAAAAAATATGTCGCATCTCGCAACCGGTTACGATCGGGTACGTGATAAAATTTCGCATCTTAATATTCAATTTTGATCAAACGCTTTTAATAATAAAATTTATGGCGGCCGGTGCCTTATATATTAATGGAAAACGTTCGTCGAACAGATGGAAGCGCAATAAAAAACTAATGAAGGCACTCTTCTTCGATACCTAAAGGACATATTTCCTTTTCCCCTTCTGATAATTAAAAGGTCCAACCCTAAAACACTCCCTTTCTATATGATGTCCATTTTCTAATGCGTAAACAAATCTAAACTGCTAGCGTAATAGGGCGACGCGATCAAAAATCCCTTTTTGTTTTAAGTATATGGTAAGTTAGGCAGTAAAACAGTCAATCTTTATCGAATTCACACGTCTGCCCTGGTCCATTTGTTTCTGCCCGGATCCAGATTGCCCCTCTTGTCGCGGTCCCCACCCTTTTAGTTCGAAATGCCACTTTCTCTTTATTTAAATTGCATTATACTCCAACTTCGAGAGGCCTTTTATTTTCTTGTCTTTCACGCAAAAAAAAGGACACAAATAGACTTCCTGATCAAATTACGCGGCGGCGTTTTCGCAAGATGTAAATTGGCATAACGCAACATGTGACAGATTGGGCATACAGAAACGGGGTGAGTCAGCGCAAATTTGCCTTCTCCTAATAATCTGTCAATGGGGCATGTTTCGGGCCCGATATCAATCATAAAACGGAAAATTATACTTACGGGGCGAAAGGCCTAGGCGCGTCTGTAATGCGATTTTCGAGTCCTCCGAGGAAGGTAGCTGCACGTCTCTCGTTCGCCAATTAATCTCCGGGTCGTTTAGCCATAGCTTTCCTGAAAACAAAAAAAAGAGAAAATGTACGCTATGTATATGCAAACGTGACAGCGGCGGGGCGAAGGGAAATTGGATTCCGCGTTGATTGTCTATCGCCTTTAGTTTTGCTTGCTTGGGATGGAATGGGGGTGGCAGCGCGCTAACTAGGGTCGCACTAATCAATATCCGCCCTTGCCCCGTTCACCACCTGGACACGCAGCTTCCTACTACACAGACACAACAGAATTGCTAACTCGCTAATATTTGATCTAAATTCTGCTAATGTATGATGTTCTCGGTGAATTTAAGGAAGTGCTCGCTTAACGGAAATCTTCCAAACTCAAATATTATCTTAAATTGCGCACAAATTATAACGGTTACACATTTCGCGTTTGTTTCCGCTAATTATACGTAAATTTGAAGTCATTAGCGTCGATGCTCTTTTTTTTGGTTTCTGTAGGTAACTGATACACCGCTTACACATTTACATCAATTGTGATTCATCTTGTACATTCATTATTCCAAAATTACATACACATTCTCGTTTCATTTGTTATACTGATTCCTTTGTGATCTGCTTAGAGATTGGTTTGCGATTCTGAATTTCCCTATACAGTACAGGTAAATATGTTTAAAAAAATCGGGTGGGAGAGCAAACATTTATCCACATAAAGTAATGGTCCCAAATACATATGTCGTTTGTGAGTTACGTTTTCAAAAGTCTCAAAATTTGGGGTTTTTAACAACCACATCACAAAGGATGTCTAGGTTTTCTCGGGTATCATTCTTTAGTGTCGAAAACACAGACCATTTGGCAAAATTTTCATCATTTCTTTGGAAGGTACTAAACGAAAGATTTTGGGCTCTTTATTTATTTGCTCTCCCATTTTTACATATTTGTATAAGAGAACGAATGAGAAATAAAGAAAACAGTTACATTTACAAGGGTTAGTTTACAGTATTGAATGACTAGTCAGGAATTTAAATGGAACAGAAATTTAGCTTTATACCATAGTGGGGCAGATAAATGCCATAAAATGCTTGAATCGTTCAGATGATGATACTACCATGAAATTTAGTATAAGCGCTCCAATAGGGGTATTGTTTAATATGAAAACGGTGGCCACTTAATTCAAAATGGCCGTTGTTTTCCAAGATGGCGACACAGATCATGCAAATATTAACAATTATTAGTGATAAGTAACAACGGCGGCCATTTTGAAGTTTTTAAGTGGCCAGCGTTTTCATATAAAACAATATCCTTGTGGAAGCGTTCATACCAAATTTCATACTAGTATTATCATTTGAAAGATACTTACCACTAATAGCATGTGCCGCCATCTTGGAAAACGGCGTCCATATTAACTTGTTTTATGTGGCCAGCGTTTTTATATTAAACAGTACCCCTTATAGGACATTCATACCAAATTTTGTGCTTGTATCATCATCTGAAAGATACTTGCCATTATCTGCGCCATTTTTACAATGTGTACAGAGTGTAACATACCTACACAAGTATGTAAAAAATCAGGAGACAGAGAGAAAGTAAATTTTTCTCGGTAGTAATAAAAAAGTATAAACGATCAAAAAAATAGTATAAAGGATCAAAAATTTTTCGTTTGGGAAACACACCTCCATAAAGTATATTATAATCAAAAATCATAGATGGCCAATTTTGTTGATATCGTAATTTCGTCCCATTTTTCAGGATGGACCATCTTGTGGTAAGTATTGTTTGCAAAAAAATTAAAGATTATACATTTTGAGACCTTTGGGGAGATGGGACCTAGTACATTTTCCTATTCTAAAGATTTACACACCTCTAGATGCTAAATAGAATTTAACCCACAGAAAAGAATGGTATAAATTAACTTAAAATAGACAATTAATGAGAAAGAATCACCAAAATTTCTTGTTGGGTTCGCTTATCATTCATAAATAATACACACATCTGTTCACTGAATAATCTTCCGTGGGTCGACCTCTTCAGGAATATTAAAATGACTTTGCTACCCAAAATCGCCAAAACGATCGACTCCTGTTTCTATACAACACAAAAATTTCAAATAACTTACATTTATCGGTGCGTCGAGGTTTTCTAATAATATAAAGGTACCAACAATTCGGAAAATTGAATAATAGAACGCCTTGTTCAAGAGAATTGTACCTTTTGTATCGCCTGGTAAATTTGACTACTTGTTGAAAGTGAATTTTAAAAGATGGTTGACGAGGTTACTCGAAATTTAGTAGTTTGAAATTTTGTTTACTCACTGGAATAATTTACCAATGTTCCGTAGTATGGAAATTTCAATTTTCCCCTTGCACTTAGGGTTTTAACAGCCAGCAAACGCTCTAATTAATCGTCTTTAAACTTTTTACTAGTTGCCGTTTAATTCAGAATCTTATTATCATCCCGTATAAGCAAGAGAGGCGCACAAATTAGTTATTAACTAACCACTCCAAGTATAAACGTAATGAAACGTTGTGTACTTTTGACCACAACGCTTTCGTGGTAAACATTTATTTAAACACTTTATATTAGTTTTTGCTCGGAATGAATTTTTAAGTATACCGGTAATGATTTCGTCGAATTCGTGGCAGAGTTTTCCCTTGTAGTTTGGCAATTAACTTCATCTTTCGCAATAAAAATATCACGTACGATTACGCGACTGTTAAATCTTCCGTATACCTCGATTATACGGATTCGTTTTGAAACTAATAAATGTTACGCGATCTGAAATGCCGACTTGCATAGGTTCGTCTTGAAGGTTCGGCCAAGAATCTCTTTCTCCCATTCAATTTTTCCTAATGTAGTCCAAAAATCGAAACGCAAACCAAACTTCGGCCACGCTTTTTTTATAAATGTAAAGGTAGGTATAGCAGAAAATGTGTCCCTCATGCTCCGTAAGAACCAACCTTAAGAATTGAATCTTATCTCCTTGCACACTCGCTTCTTATCTGAAAGCGCTTCATTCTATCGGATTTTAGTTCCGGTATTTTCCCCTATGAAGCAAATGTTAATTAGGTCAGAATGTCATAAAATGAATCTTTTGGAGTCTTTTCGCTCTCACGACAAAAATAGGTCCTCCTATATTAGATTACTACTAAAGGCCCTGCCACACAGCGCTCGGTCTGCGATATCAGTATTCTCTGTAAATGCATTGTACATACCTGCCAAACAGGGAGCGTTCTGACCACGTGGCGGTCCGCTTTTAACAGGTTACATAGAATACAAATATCGCAGACCGCCCTCTGTGTGGCAGGACCTTTAGTTTCTTTAATAGAAGCAGAGCACAAACAAAAATTTCACATTATTTGTTCTCATTAAATTCGCCTCTATAATTCGCATCCAGAAGATTTGCTCTTGATATATTCGGTCCCAGAAGATTCGCCCCCATCCCAATATTAAATTTCTCGTAATTCTATGAGAGAATTGGCTTTGGTGCATTCTCTCCTGGAACCACCACATTCATTGTAATTTACCTTTAAAAAATGTTTTCCCGTGGTTAGAGTTAGTTTTTAAACCTGGAGGGAACGAATTTTTGGAAGCGGTTGCGAAGACGAAGTGAGCGGAAGAATTTTCTTACTTACTTCTCTTTGTAGCGGAGGTGGAGTTAGTTAGAGCGCGCATTTCGGTGGTGGAGAATTTTCTTTGGGGGTAAAAATCCTGTGTGGACATTTTTTGAGCGAATTAAATAATATTAATTTTTAATTAAATGTGCAGGAAAGGCCTTATTCTAATTGCAGTTACTCCAAGAGTTCTTTCAATCTCAATCCTTGAGGTCGAGCTTTTCTCAACTTACATTTTTCCTGAGTGCGTCAGCGGAACTGACTTTTTGTATTCGTTTGTAATCAGTTACTCGTTTATCTCGATAATCAGATTCTTCTCACTGTTTCCGGCGGGGGGGGGGGGCGAATTTTTGGGACCAATGAGCGCGGGTATTTTTGCAAAGAAGGTTTCTTTTTACCTTTTTACTTTTCTTTGGCGCAAATTTTCGGAGACGGAGCTGAATTGAGCAATTGAGTTTTTTTTAAGTAACTTCCGGTGGCAGTGAATTTCTTTTGGGGTGGAAATTATGCGGGCGAAATTTTTGGGGCGATTATTACGGCAGCGAATTTGCCAAGATGCGAATTTTCTTAATGTCTCGTTTACACGACGCCGGTTTGTACACTCTTTTCAGAACTTCTGAACTTTCAGTGATCACTAGAGTATAGGTCACCTCCTGGCGCTTTTAGGCCCTTCCTAGAGCCTTTGAAGTCTTTTTTCAAGTATACTAGGCTCTCATAGCTTTCTGAATGGTCTAGGAAAGTCGAAATAGTGCTTAATTGTACTAATGTACCTACTAAACTTCATTCTTCATCTTTTTAGGTAAACTCCAGAGATATTTACTTTGTTCTAAATACAAAATAATAAAATATTTATACAGGGTGAACATTTTGTCTGGAACAAGGGAGATATCTTCAAAACACGACTTTTATCATATCCAAAATTATAAAAAGTGTTCTACAATCTACGTACTTTAAATTTGTGGCCAGTGGCGTACTTTTGCATGGTGAAGGGGGGCGTACTTTTTTTTAATAACCATCTAGTTTTCGTTACATATTATTAAAGAGTACACTGCAATATAAAAAAAAAAATAAAACTAGTGCCAGATGCTATTAATAAAAATATGCCCCCGTTGAGCATGCATAAGTACGCCACTGGCCACAAATTGAAATTGTTGTTACATCCAGACAAAGTGTTCACCCTTTATAAATGTATATAATAAATCAGAACGTTCACCCAGAAAGCGAGTAGGAGAAATTTACCAAAATCTGATGAAGTTACTTTAAATATCGGTGCCAACTTATGAGAATGTGAAACTTTTTGTTGGTATAAATCAAATTGGGCCGCACGCGTCATCAATTTCCTGACAAGTTTTATCTGGCGGCTCGAATGCAAACATTTCTGACATTCGGCATTAGAAAACAAGTAATTGATGGTAGGGACATTTCATTTCGGGTAAAGCGTAAATCAAAG